AGTAGCTGCATTTGTATATTCAAGAAGACTTTTTAAACCAACTTTCTTTCTTTTATTTTTTTCTCTTACCTAATACATAGTTTTCAAGCATAGAGAGATGCATATGAAAATTTTTACTTAAATTAATTTCTCTTCATTAAAATTCCAAGTTCTCAGATTAGGTGGTTGGAGTCTATAGACCACAAATCCCCCTCATTAACCCTAAAGAGTTGTTATAACCTATATTAAATATTGCTGTATAATAAATTACCCCAAAATTTAAGTTGCTTAAAACAACACACAGTTTTTATAGGTCAGGAATCTAGGCAAGGCTTATCTGGGTCCTCTGCTTCAGGGTTTCCCTCAAGGCTGGAGTCAAGATCCCACTGGGGCAGGATCTGCTTCCAAGCTTACTCAGTGGTGGTTGACAAGATTCAGTTCCTTGAGGGCTGTTGGACTGAAAGCCTCAGTTCCTAGCTGGCTGTTGGCTGGAGGCCACTCCCCATTCTTTGCCATGTGGGCCTCTCTAACATGGTAGTCCTCTTCATCAAAGCCAGCAAGGGAGAGAGTAGCAGGATAGAAGTCATAATCTTTCATAACCTAATCTCAGAAGTGGCATCCCATCATGTTCGTCTTATTTAATTCATTAGAAGCAAGTCACTAGATTCAGACCACACTCAGGGGGAGGGATTTGAATGCCAGGAGGGCAGGATTGTTAGGGGCCATCTTAGAAGTGTGTCTACTGCCTAAATGAGGGAATGATTTAACAGACTGAGGAGAAACTAATAAAAGTGACTTCCAAGAAGTGAAAGAAAATAGCCTCTTCCATTCACTTATTCACAGCCAGAGCAAAGGAGCTTGATTGGGCTGGGCTCATAATGGGCATGGCCAGCTCTTGCCTGAGAGGACACATCAAACCCAAAATTGAGAGGCTAATTTCAGAATCAGAGGAGCAACATTAAGTAGCATGTCCAAGGTATGAGTTTGGGGCTGTAGAAAAGGGAAGAATAAGAAGTCAGGAGCCCAGAAATACTGAGTCAATGTGGAAGCAAAATATTAGACCAGATATGGCAGAAAGGTTTGGATGTAGCCAAGGGCACAGAAATAGTGCCAGCACTATCTTGCTCATGAGCAGGGCACCCAGGTTTTAAAGACACAGGACTGGACCAGACTTTTCCTCTCAATTATTGAAAGGTCTAAAATACTGCTATATTTTTGTTGAAAAATGTTAAATTTTTTTAAGTTAAAAAAATGGAAAACAATGGATTAGTGAAAATGTTGAAATTGGGGAGGAAATGCTATTCCAAATGAAATTAAAAGTCATGAAAATATTCCTTTTTGGCCAACATTAGATTATATATTTTCTCTTAAAATGCATGGATAGTGTTTTGTATCAAGTGACTGTGTAACTCTCCTCTCTGAATAATACTTACAGTGTGAAGCACCGCAGTGCATCATTCTCCCCCAGGTGCTATACAGGCACCTCAGAGTCATCTAGCTTAGAACGAATATTGGTGGGGGCACCAATGGTTTCTCCTTCTGTTAGCTGTTTTTTGTTTTTATTTTTAACTTTATCTTTATTTTGACCTTAATGATATATTTTCCTTAAATGTCAACAAATAATTTATCCAGAAACTATAATGTCCTTTTACAGAATTTTCAAAAGTGATGAATTTCCTAGGCTTTTTGTTTTTACTTGCTGCATAACCACATGATAGGATGATGAAACTAAAGTCATGTTGAAAACAGAGAACCACTCATTTCTGGAAATAGAAATCTGGTCACATGGAATTCCCTGTCTGCTTGCTTCCAATCACATCTTCCACAAGATTATAGAAGTAACCAATTACTTTCATCCACCTTTCTTTCACATGCCTAGAAGTCATTTTTTTTGACTCTTATTTTGAGGGTTTGTTCATTTATTTATACTTATCTCAATCCTAGATCATTCAATTATAACTCTTCTCCAACTCATCTTTTTATTTCTTTCTTTAAATGTACTCTCTGTATATTGAGCCATGGCACAGCTGGTTTAGCTTCTTCATTTATATAGCAGTCACTTGAACAGCAACTAATAAATCAATATTCAGCAATTTAAATCCCTATTACAATTTGCCAATGTCAAATCCAAACTGCCAGTTTTGCTTATTCAGAATATGCTGATATTTTCTTCCCATACCATCTACTAAAGATAAATAGATCAGACAGTTCCAGATTAAATTAAACATGGCATTCGTGTATTTTGGGGTTACCTTTCATTGTTTGAAAAAATCTAATAATTCTGAGGCATTATTTGTTCCAAATCTTAAAGGTTATGATTCACAAGTGTGGGGAGAGCGGGAGAATCCCCCTCTGCCCTTTCCCTTAAGGTTCTTATGGCTGGCCAAATAATCAACAAGACAGGTTAGCAGGAGAAAATATTACCAAGTTTAATAACATGTATACATGGGAGAAACTCAGAAATGAGCAACTCGTCCCTCTGCCTAAGCTGCTTGCTTAAGTATTGTAGCTAAAGGCGAGGAAGGTGTTGGGGGTGGGTAGTGGTCTGGGACTTCAGAGGGCAAGAAGACAATTCTTTTCAAGGTCATCTATAGATAATGTGGTCAGGGAGAGAGAGAGTTTTTTTGATAAAAGGGGCTTGGTGCCCCTCCCATTGTAACACCTATTTTACATTATCATTACAGCCATCATGATAGAAGATCTGTTCCAGGAGCCACCATGTCAAATTCTTTAGGCAGTTAGTGGGGGAGGTCAAATGTCCCTCAGAGAAAACAATCAAGGTAAAGAGATATATTTCAGGGTGGCCAAATCGTGATCTCCCACACAAGGTATCAAAGTATTCTCAAAATGTTTTCTCTTAACAACCTACTATAGTGTCTGAAATCCATACCCTTGTGATTCCTATGGGCTGTTTAATGCTAGACATAGATAAATAGATGGAGATATAGATTGATATAGATACGGAATATAGACAAAGATAAATATTGCATCACTGGAAAAAAATTGCTTCAAATAGCTTGTCTATGGGTCTGGTCACAATTCTGATGTCTGGTAGGGGGTAGGGGGTTGTTTCCCCACACCACCAAACAAATCTCTGGGTACCAGCTGGATGTCCTACGATGTAACTCAATTCTGACACTGTCTCCCTGGAGAGAGCATCAGATCCCACAGGTTAAGGGTTCATTCTTACAAGATATTGCCCCCCCACCACTTCAGATGCCAATCTCAAGTCCAGGTCATCACCTGTGTTTCTGACCAACCAGCTATAAATCAGAGGTTCCCATAACCCCCTCCTAGGGTTCAAGTAATTTGCTAGAGAGGCTCAGAGAACTCAAAAAAACATTTTACTTACTAGATTACTGGTTTATCATAAAAGGATATAACTCAGGAGCAGCCAAATGGAAGAGATACATAGAGCAAGGTATGGGGAAAGGACAGGAGCTTTCATGCTGAGTGTGCCACTCTCCCCAAATCTCCATGTGTTCACCAACCCAGAAGCTCTCTGAATCCAGTCCTTTTGGGTTTTTATGGAGGCTTCATTACGTAGTCATGATTGATTAAATCATTGGCCATTAGTGATGGAACTCAATCTCCAGCCTCTCTCCCCTCTCCAGAGTCAGGGGGATGGAACTGAAAGTTCCAACCTTCTAATCACGTGTTTGGCTCCACTGGCGACCAGCCCCTATTCTTAGGTGGTGTCCAAAAGTTACCTCATTAACATAACAAAAGACACCTTTTTCACTCCCATCACTTAGGAATTTCCAAGGGTTTTAAGAGCTCTGTGCCAGAAACGGGGAGGAAGGCCAAATATATATTTCTTACTATAAATTAAAATATCGCCCTGAGATGATGGTTGATAAGGTGTGTGTGTGTATGTATGTGTGTTTTGGGATTGGTGGAGTGAAAGAATTAGCAAAGGTGTGCCACAAGGGACCCAGGTCAGGAGTAGGGCAACAAGGTGTGAGGAAGCCTGAGTAACAGGTGGGGAATGATGACATCTGCCCTTTCTAATGTGTGAAAAGTCCATGATGCATTAATTTAATTTCACTTATTCAGTAGGTCTTGCTCAAGAATTAAAGGAGACTTCAAAAAAAAATTAAAACAAAGTAATTTTTTTTTATTGGGTCCAATACTATTTTAAATGGCACTCCGTACTTTTAGGCAAATCATACAGATGTTCATCACCATATTTCTGGAGTTTTGATATTTGTAACTGGAAAAAATAAATAAATAGGTGGTCCTTGTTCTTCCTAGGAAGAAATTCTAAATTTGGAAGCCAACTCCAAATAGAGCTTTCACTGTTGAGAAGAAATATCTGTGAAGAATCTATTAGTTAATTTTTAAATGCTGTCAGCTGTGTTAACCTGCAAGAAAAAATAACTCTTTATTCAATATGTAAAAAGTACTGGGCCTCATCTAAGTTGACAGTTGTCCAATTGCAGGGTCGAGAATGATGTTCACTATATTGATGTTGTACTGGCCTCTTGTCTTATTTCTCCCTTTTTCTATTCTTGTAACCTCTTGTGCTTTCCCAAGAGTATAACAATTCTCTGATCGTCTGCCTGTGAAAAAGGGCTTCTTTATTCATTGAAACAAGGCTTAAAATCAACCCAAAATAGAAAGGGCAAGATTGTAGACAAAGTATTTGGGAACTGCCAAGTCCTCATAAATCCTACTTAATGAATGGACACTTATGCCACTGGCATGGAAAGCCAATCCTAATAAATGCATGAAATTCTTCATTTATAGAAGTAGAAGATGATCATTTGAATTTTAAAATGTTGATCAGAGAGATTTTTCTTATCATTTTACAATCAATTTGAGCTGTTGAAGTGCTCTGTGTACTGTAGTACTGGGTTATAAAAAGGACCCTCCTAAGACTTGAGACTGAATTAGGTAAATATTGCTTAGTAGTTCCTTTGGCTCATTTGAGGGAGAGAGATGGACACTGCAAGAGGGAAAGAAGTTGGGAAGGACAAAGCACTGAAATATAACCACATTATGCCTTGTTATTCTTCTAGGATCTCATGATTCCTTCAGCTTCTACATTGACGAAGCCTCACCAGTAGGGCCTGAGCAGCCAGAGACGGTCCAGAATTTTGTCTCTGTGTTTGGAACTGTGGCCAAAAAGCTGATGCGGAAATGGCTAGCCACTCAAACGATGAACTTTACTGGTCAGCTAGGAGCTGGGATCCGTTATTTTGATCTTCGAATTTCCACCAAGCCCAGAGACCCCGACAATGAACTCTACTTTGCTCATGGTTTGTTCAGTGCCAAAGTCAGTGAAGGCCTTGAGGAGATCAATGCTTTCCTCACAGATCACCATAAGGAGGTAGTACTCTTGGACTTCAACCATTTTTATGGGATGCAGAAATATCACCATGAAAAACTCGTCCAAATGCTGAAAGACATCTATGGAAATAAAATGTGCCCAGCAATTTTTGCCCAGGAAGTTAGTCTCAAGTACCTGTGGGAGAAGGACTATCAAGTGCTGGTTTTCTACCACAGTCCAGTGGCTCTGGAGGTGCCCTTTCTCTGGCCTGGGCAGATGATGCCGGCACCCTGGGCCAACACCACAGACCCGGAAAAACTGATCCAGTTTCTTCAGGCATCTATCATTGAGAGAAGAAAGAAGGGCTCGTTTTTTATATCTCAGGTGGTGCTGACCCCCAAAGCTAGCACTGTGGTCAAAGGGGTGGCCAGTGGCCTCAGAGAAACCATCACAGAAAGGTAAGTGTCCTTAAGGTATCAGGGGAAAAGTTTAAGGAATTTAACCCAAATTCACAGAGCTGGTAAGTGATGGAGCTAAAATTCACACCCGTGTGTATTAGTTTCCTAGGCATGCCATAACAAAATACCACAAACTGGGTAGCTTAAAACAAAAGAAATTTATTGTCTCTTAGTTCCAGAGGCTACAAGTCTAAAATCAAGTTGTCAGGAAGGTTGATTCCTTCTGAGGGCTTTGAAGGAGAATCTTTTCCATGCCTCCCCTCTAGCTTCTGGTGATGGTTGGCAATCCTTGGTGTTCCTTGGCTTGTAGATGCATCACCCCAATCCCTGCCTCTGTCTTCACATGGCATTCTCTCCATGTGTCTCTGTCTTCTCTTTTTATAAGGACACCAGTCACATTGGAATAGGGAGCGCTCTAATGACATTATCTTAATTGCATCTGCAAACACCCTGTTTCCAAGTAAGGTCACACTTATAGGTACAGGGGATTAAGACTTCAACATATATTTTTAGGACACAGATCAACCCATGGTAATGAGCATTTTGACTCCATGTCCAGTTATCTTTTCTTAGCACTCCTTTTCCCATTTGCGTAGCACTTTATAAGTTACAAAGCCCCTTCTCTACTGTTCCTAGAGTCTTTTGCATACTCAATTCCAACTGATCTACATAACAATAGGGAGTAGATATTGTCTTACAGATAAAAATTGAGGTTCAAAGAAGTGAAATGTTTTGCCTAAGGCCACTTGAACAATGAATGATGAAACAATGACTCAAGCCCTGTTCTTTTCAAGCTATATTCTATGCCTTTACACTACACCATAAGCAAGGATCTCTCTCCAGAGAGTGAGCATTCCATTGGTCAAGCCTAGCCATCCATATAGAGTGGTGCTTACCTTGTGAGGTGTAATTTGAGCAATTGCCAAGGATCTCTGTAGCTCTTTCCCATGAGTGTGATACAACAGGTAGAATTGTACGTATTATTTGTTCTTTTGAGTTAAGGTATTAAACAATGCAAACATTGTCTGAAGAAACAAATACAATTCCTAACAGACCTTTTACCTTTACCTTTAATTGATGTTTTGAATTATAGTAAGGAGACAGCATGAATGATTTGCTTGGACTCAAGCATCCTTATAGGGAAAGACAAGAAGATGAAGAGAAAAGATCTGGAGGTGAAAATAGTGTGGGGTCCTTATAGCATAGCATATAGGGTGGGGATTGGCAGGGGATGAGGTTTGTAGTAGGGCAGGAACACACTTGCAAGAAGGCTTTTAGGCAGGCTACAGGGAACTTCATCCTGTGAGCAATGGGGAGCTAGAAAACGATATTTAGCAGTAGAATGATTTGAATAGATCTACATTTTAGATAGATAATTGGCACAGCATGGAAGATAGATGGAACAGAGGGAATGAGCAGTTAAGAGGTGCTTAGAACTGTTTTAACGAGGTAATGCCAGCTAAACTGAGGAAGTGAGAATGTCTAGAAGGGGACATATGTCACAGCAAAAATTAGGATGATCTGGTGACTATTTAGCTATATGGTGTGAATAGGAAAAAAGAGTTAAGGAAAAAGTTTCTTCTTAAGAAGTAGAATGAGTGATGGAGGCATTTACAGAGGCGGGAAACAAAGACACAAGGACTTGGGGAGAAAGTGGGAAAGGTCATGTTAAATTTAAAGTGCTAATAAGGCATTCAAGTAGATGTGGCCAATTGATCACTAGGAATATAGGCCAACTCATTTGGGGGTTATTGGCATTTCTTGGCAATGGAAGCCACAAGCCTTGTGCTCCTCTATGCAAAATCGTTACTTCCTTCTGTTATTCAGGTATTAACTGGGATCTCCCTGTTCTGTAAGATTTAAATAAGATCCCAACCCTTCATTGTATACCATATGTTAGTACAAGGGCTTCCCTAAGATTTCTGCTAATGTCTAGATTTCTTACATTCTTATGGTATGAGCCCTTGCTGCTTCTGGATTGCATCATATCATTGATTGATTGTCCCATGTGGCCTGTACATATCCCACTCTGTATAAGCTGAGTTGTGAAACTTGCTTCTTAGTCAATTTCCACAGTGGTTTTTAGACTTTACATAAGATCTGAGGAGACAGGGGAGGTCTTGTAATCATAATAATGCAGATAATTTAAAATTGAATTTTAGACTAGTCTGTAATTATAAATCTTCTGGCTTGGGGCATCTTTCCCTGATAACATCTATACCACTTTCTACCTCAACCTCTAGTGCTCAGACTGAATCCTCTCCTCTACCTCCTTCTCCTTGTCCTTTTCTCATCTCTTTTCTTCCCTTGCCCCATATTGCCTTGGGGATTCTACACTCTCCTCTAGATTGTTATGCCAAACTCTTTACCTCTCTCCTGGCCCTAAGCCTATGTTAGGCTAGTCCCATCAAAGTGTTCCTCAGAACAAGAGGACTTTTTATTTAATAACACCACCTTCTATATAAATTAAGTGTTCTGGTAAATAACAATTTGCTACCTCTCTCACAGACTTAAAAGTGAGAGTTATATTACATACACATAAGAATGTGTTGTTTTAAAATTTACCCCATAGAGCACCCAGATTTTGAGGAATCCCTGAGGAACCACTAGAGGTGGGGAAGGACAGGAGGGGTCCTGGGATCAGCCGACTCCAATTCTCTTCATTCTCACTACACCTTTGATGAAAGAAGCTTTATTTCTAACTTTACATATTGGGCATGAAAGGTGTCTTGTCTTCCAGCTTTAGCTTCTGTTGTGTAGTTCTGTGCTTAGGAAAACACTTTTCCATATGTTACCACACCAGGTCCGTTTGTGCCCACCGCCCAGAAAGCCACGACGAGATTGCAGAGAGAGAGGGTTTAATCACAAGGCAGCCAAGTGAGGAAAAATGGGAGAATAAGTCTCAAATCCGCCTCCCCAAAAATAGGGACTCAGCGGTATTTATGGGGAAGGGGCAAGGTGGTCTGAAATGATTGGAGGTGAGGAGAGATGAGGTAACTGATGATCTGTGCAAGCGTAGTCAGCCTTCATGCCTCTTTGCAGGACACACGTTCACAGAATGGCGGCATCGGCATACCCTGAGGGTGGAGTTCCAACCTCTTGCCATCAAAAGGGCCGAGTTGATGGGTTGGTGGTCTCAATCCAGCCTGAAGTGGACAAGGGGTTCAGTTCCTAAAAAAAATAGCTCAAACACCCATTACCATGGTAATCCAGGCTCCAGGGAGATGTCATCTATAGGAACCTAGTGGGAGTCAGATAGCATATTGCCCTAACAGCACAGTTAACAATGAGTAAGTTTACCATGCAGATTTAAGTCTTCATTTTCCATTCTGACGAGTTTCTAGTAAGGCCATCCCCCCCTCTTCCTGGTACAGGGAAGAAGATACATTTACAAATGGAGATTTTCTTTACAAATGTAAATGTATTTTATAAAGAGTAAACAAAACTAAGAACGGGCTTAGCACGGACCCACCCAGACACCTGAGATGTCTATGGTGATGGCCTATTCTGGGGGCAGGCCTCCCATCCCAAACTCCTTTGGTTAGTTAGTGGGGGTGGGGGCCAAAATGTCATTCAGGCAGAGACATATCTTGAGTTGGCAAATTCCAATCCCCCATAGTTACTAGCTGCTTAATCATCAATGGCTGTTTGGCGGTTTCACATATAGCATGCTTGCTTTGCATTTGGCCAAGAACCACACCCTGATTTTATGTGTGTAGGGAATAGCCTTTGGGAAGTCAAGAAGAAAAATCTACTCAAGGAATAAATGACTTTTGTTTTTCTCTCATGTGGAATTTCATGCAGTTTAGGGCTTTGAAAGTTATAAGTTGAACTGCTTTTTTGTTTGCTTATGTTCTAGTACAGTATTACTACAGTCAGATTTGCGGACTAAAGATAAAATAAGTTAGAAAAATGCTGAAAATTATATATCTATACAACTCGCTCAAAAGATTCACAATGCACATTAGCATATAAAAGGCACTAACAAGTATTTTAGTGAAGAATCCTGTTTCAATTTAACTAATACAATGTTTTCCAAGTGCTTAATTTTTTTTTTCGAATAACTTATTAACAGCCCATAGAATTAATTTTGAAAAACTCTCCTCAGCCATCTGCTCTAATTCAGAATTTCTCACTTGCCTCTGGCTTTTATATCTGGAATAGTACAGTTGTATCATTGAAAAGAGAAAGAAAAGTGGGGAAAAAAGAATTTAAAAAGTAGAAATGAAGACCCTATAGGTAGAATCAACCTCTTTCTCTCTAAGATTATGCAAATTACTAGCAAACAATTTGCAAATGTATCTGAACCTTGCCAGGATACTTATGCTGTAAGCATCCTTGAATGGAGTTTAGTCTTAGAAGTACTAAAAAGACCTCCTTTTAAACTAACTGCAAAGCCTGTAGTTGAGTATGGTGTTAATGTGAAACTCAGAGGTTTTGTTTTGTTTTCACATGGATGAGGCCTATAGGAAAAGGTCATTGTCAGCCCTTGGACAGTGCCTTGCAAAGGTCATTCACTTGCCTCTGAAAGAGTCAGTCGAATAACACTTGACTCCCCATGAACATATTGCCTCTCTCTCCTCACCAAGCGACAAAACCCACGAAAAGACTTTTTCTGCCATTTTCCTCTTCTATTGTGTCAAAGCCACTTATTCCGAAAGTCCTATGTTGACACAAAACTGGGGTTACCACACAAAGTTGGGGTTCTCTTGCCCGATGTGCATAAATAAAAAACCAATTAGTTACGGCATCAGCTTTTGGGGGCGACATTAGCTTTATTCTGTGAGATCAATCTGCAGGGAGACACAGGGCGTGTGCCCTCAGATCTGTCTCCCTGATTCAGGATTTGAGGTGAAATTTAAGAGGTTAGGAAGAACAGGCTTGGCACGTGGGAATGCCGGGGGGACAGGCTTTGATTGGTGGGCTTCAAGTATTTATGGTAAGGTTTTAAACATTTATGACAGGGTTCTAAACATTTGTGATGAAGTTCTAAACATTTA